TTCAGTTTTGCTAAGTTACAAATCTCTGCCCATGCCAAACCTAGAGGCTTGCTATTTGTCTGCGCTGCAAATTCATTTGTAAAAGTTTTCAAACACTTGAATCCAATGAAATTTACATATGGACATTTCTTTGCATCTGGAAGTCCATCAGGCTCATGTCATCAGAGAAGGAACGCCATGATGAACCCTTTTCACATTTCCGGGTGAAAGAGGAAGTCGCCATAGTGAATGAGAGACTACATGAAATATATTTTTTGTGTTCCCATTTGCTCAAATAGAAAAAGAAAAACTCCACAATAGTATTTTCACAACTTTCAAAAAGAGAGATTGATAACGGCATTCAAAAGAGAGACAGACGCCTATTTAACCATCACTCCCACTATTAGAAACACCCTCACAACAGCGTTAACTAGTACTTGAAATTTGATGCAAAGGTAGTTAGAGCCAGACCGATACATCGGCAGACCGATATTATCGGCCGATATTGGGCATTTTCCAAACTATCGGTATCGGCAATTATAATGGCCGATAAATGAATATTTCAGAAATAAAATAAAAACGGACGAAACACGCTTCAACCATGTCATGAGTGTTGGAGTTGTATAGTTTGTCCACCAGAGGGCATTCTACACCGTCCCTGTTGGTAACACTCATTAAGTTGGTCACGAGACATAAATTGCTTGAATAACAATTAAAAGAACATCCCCATCAGTTCTCTTAACTCAAATAAGCATGACAAAATTTGTGACTATCATGTCTAGTTTAAAATAAATAAATAAATAACATATCAGCCGACATATCGGAATATCGGATTTTAAAACCCCAAAATATTTGTATCGGTATCGGCCTTGAAAATCCTTTATCGGTCGGGTTCTAAGGGTAATCTAATACAAAGTATAGTGTTATAAATGAAAATGCACATACATATTTCTAAAAATAAAAATGCAACAATTACGATGAATTTATGAATGTTTAAAACGCATCATCACACTCTGTGAAAAGGGTCCATTCCAGAGGGGGAGCAGATGTTCAGATTTTGACTAAAGATTACAAAGACAAACAATTTTGCCTGTGGATTACCTTGCACTTAGTAATGTGAGCTAGCAAATAGGGTCCATTTTGATTCCAGGCAGAATTTTAGGCTAAGATTCATCGCAAAAGACAGGAAATCGTGGCCATGTCATGCTAATCTGACCAAGACTGCAGATTATTCAAAAGCAAAGATTTCTTTTAAAATTCCTGAAAATGTTCTCAGGCAGCTAAACCAAAATCTGTGCACCGGACTTTAGAAACAGAACAGTGAGCTGTATTGTCCATCGTACATTCTACTTTCTCAGTCAGTAATGCCTCAGTCACTGTTGAGAACAGCTGTTGCATTAAATGGCCCACTGCTCTTTCTCTCTCCACGCTCCATCAGCTTCAAGTATCGCCTCAGAGTAGCATTGTGAAAACAAGCAGAGAGGAACAAAATTTGGTTTCACATTTAGAGAAAAGGGTTATTATGGCGCATGATTTGGTGCAAGAGCTGACTTAAAAAAAAAAAGGCTTTTTGAAGTGCTGGCCTGAACATAGGGCGTTAGTTGTTCAACCAAATAATAAAATTACAATTAAATCAAATGATGACACTACCCTTTTGACTTATGTCACAGCCTGTACATGAAAAAAGGGAAGGAATTTAATACACTGTTCATTGTGTACACCAACAAAAAGTTCTCATTTTAAGTCAAGACGACAGGGTCATGTCTAGATTTAACACAAGCGTAGTTTATGTTCAACTAAAATGCTTGACTCAAAGGCAGTGTAATGGAAACAAAGAAACAGCAAGCCAACCCAAATACCCAAATCCACAGTAACACGTGTTTACCGTTGTCCTCTCTGCTGGGTGTTTGTGTGTCCACATGTGTGTGGGAGAGGAGTGTTCTGGAGTTACCTTTCTTACTGTATTCCTCTCTGTGTATATCTGATTCGAGTCAGTCAAATGCATCAAAACAAACGCATAACTGCCGCCTAATGCCATGACATTGTTGGGATGATGTGCATCGGTCAAACGTGTCGGCGCGTGTGATGGACAAGGCTGTGGTGCCACACCTGCGACAAGACTGTGTGTTTATCACTTACCATCAGAGAGAGAGGATAGATAAAGCCTTCAGCTTTTTGCTGCTCTCTGATATGAACTGCGGGTGAACTTGATTTTCTGGCACGTCAGAAAATGTCTCCTATGGATGATTCAACTGAACTACAAGAAGCAGCGGAGGGAACGTTTGGACAGGCCCGCTCAATTTAATGAGAAACGCAAGAGCCGGAGGCTGACATTTTTTCACTTGTGTGAAAGTCAACAAAATCAAAGAGAAAAATAACTTACCGAACCAGTTAAACGCAACCGTCCTGTCATGTTTAATGTCAAGTATTTTTTTTGGGACAAAAGTTCTTTAAAAGATGCATTTGATTCAAATTTCGATCCGCTGAAAAACTAAAAGAAAAACTATATATATTTCTCACAGCCTCACTTTTTATTTGAGAAAAAAATGAAATATGCAGTCAACATTACTTTAATGTTTTAATTGTCCTTAGTGAAGGTTTGTGTATGATGGCAGGAGGACACAATTATAAACAAACAAGGGATAGCCTTGATACTATCAGTTTCACTGAGGCAAAAACTTTCATACATTCTTCACTTTTTCGCTTAACTAAATCTGAATACTGGATTATACTAGTGTGGGTTATCTGATACTTGAACCAAACCAACTCTATCATAAAAACACCTAGCTACGACAACTCTCAAGCAGATTATAATGACATTGTGGTTGGGATTAGTGACAGAATGACTGTTCACTACACAGTGATTATGTCACCATATTGAAAAGTAAGACCATCATTGACTACATTCACATGCACAAGACAATTCTGATTAATATTGGAATATATGAATTACGACTATATTAATATTCATAAATAAAAAATGCAAAATCATTTTATTGTGAGTAGCCTACATTTATTCAGAATATATTCGTTTTCGTAAGAAATGCTTAATGACACTAAATGGCGCTTAATCCGACAACTTGCATGGATGCGCATGAACATATGCGTTCTCTGATATAGATAATATATAGCCATACTGAAAGTGTCATGCAGAGTTAGACTAGGAAGTAAACCCAGATGCATTGCTTTTGCTGCCTATAAATAACTTGAGCGCTATATTTGTACATTATGTGTAAATAGCTTAAACTTTTATAGGGGACGCATATGTGGTGGTTTGCGCACGCTGCGCTATTCGCATTACATAAGACGCTGTTTATACATAGGCTATAGATATCAGTAGCCTGTGTGGCTCTGTGCCAACAATAAGCACACACAACTTGCAATAACCATACGTTATGTCAATATATAGAGAATTGACCTAGTGAACAGCATCGAAAATAAATATATAGGTACAATAACAACAATAAAGACGTCACGGAACGTAGACAACTTGAATTGATGGCATAGCTAGTCATTTCAAGCATTACTAAGTTATGAATATACAGTTTGAGTCAATTTTCGCTCAACCAAAAGTCAATGACTTTCAAAAATCGAAAAGCATACGCAGCAACTGCGTTTCTACCAATTGTTAAAAGGTAAAATATGTAGGCTATGTAAACAATGTCGCAATGGAATAAGCTTTAAATGAATGCAACTCAAGCAGAGGCAGACTTATTTAGACAAGAGTGGAGCGCAATGGGCTGTATCACTTACCCGCTGAAGGTCAGAAAGTACAAAGTTAGGACGTAACTTAGTTTTTTGGAAAGAAGTGGCAGTTGTGCAGTCTTCAACTCAACTTGGTATCAGTTCCTTCTACATTCGTATGGAAGCGAAACTGCGAAGCAGCACCGTTTACAACTTCTCGATAATTTCTCACTCTCTCCCCTGTGTGATGTGCGATTTGTTTTCTCACTGCGCTGTGTATGTGATGTGACAGCGCTGTACACCAGTCACCTGTAGGCGCTTGTGACAGCCGCATCCACCAATCACAGCGCGAACCGTGCATTGTGGGAAATGTTGTTCAATTCGGACAATGTTAAAGGATGACTGTAAACATAACCCCGCGTGTGTGTATTTATTATGTAGACCTTTGGCAGTGCCAAACTAATTTCATACAAGAAATTATATTCACTTTCTATGCACGTTTATGAGCATTTTTTTTATTTCATGGCATTACACCTTACTTTTATATAACTCTGTGGTGAAAACCAAGTCTTTAATGTTGTTTATATGCCTATACCTATGATATTTTAAATTATGCTTTAAGACAAACACCATTGCAGAGTATTTTCTCCTTAGGGAAAAATTGCGGTTTGAAATCACCTGTGTTTCTTACATCACAAATTACTAACCAATCACATCAACGTGTGTTATCTAGCAATCTTTAACTATGCACTGAAGAAGGGGCATAAATGCATTACCATTCTGAGACATTGACTTTTTAGACGAGCCTGTATAATTCACTTTTACCAATCCATTTCTGGTTCAAACATGGTTGAAATAAAATAGTATTTCTACTTGTCATTGTGCAGCGTTTATTACAGTAAATTGACTGAGTGGATGTCTAAACTGTTGTGAGTGGAGGCGGAGCTCATTTGCATATTCATGATTCCGTGGGTACTAAACGAAGCAAGGGTGTAGTGACATTCAAGATATTTTATGGCATGAAGAAATATTTTTTCACAAGAATATGATGTTTAAATATGTAATTTTGGTGATCAAAGTTGAGTTTTAAGGGGAAAAAATGTACTACAGGAGGACTTGCTGCATACATTCTCTCATGGCTCTAACTAAAATAATTATTCTAAATCTACATTAAGATCAAATGTTGTTTTGCTATTATTTAGAATCTTATATTGTCTATAAATTAAGTGATAATGCACAGTCTGCCAGTTACTAGTGCAAATACATTTTGCCAGAATGAAAAATAAAAGCAGAGGCAGAGCAGCTGACTCATTACAAAGATTGTTGTAATTGCAACATTCAGTTGTCAAGCATTTGTTTAATGCACAACTGTTCTTAACTCCAGCAAATATATAATCATACAGAGTGTAATTCATTGGTATTACAATCAGAACGGAGCAACATAAGCAGACAATCCCCACTGTTGTTTCAGCTTGGCCCACCGGGTGTCAGTATATTTTCCCATGCAGGAGAGAACCACAAAACAGATAACAGCTCATTTTGTTTAATAGCCCAAAACATCAGTGCCCTCTGACGCAACTTTCCAATCTAAACCAAATGCTCCAAGGCTTAAAAGAAACTGAATTTACTTCACAAACTTCTATTGTTTGATTATAATAAGGAAAAAAAAAACAATAACATTTATTTAATCTATGCTTAATAACTTCTCTTTATAACAAACAATATCATTCTTTTAACCACTTTGATATCTACAACACTTAGAAACTCCCTCGCCAACAGAGTCAATTAGAACCACTTTAACTAGGCAATCATGCACCGTAGCAAGTTGAACTCATAATGGCCCCAAAGAAAGCACTGAATAAATGAAATGCAGCTTTTCTATCCTAAATCTGAAGTTATTCAAAATGGGTTAAGCTACACCTTTCCAGCACAACCTTAGGAGATTTCTTAACATTACGATTTTTTTGATAGATTTGAATGTTCATCCAGTTTACCGAATCACAAATTTGCAGAGATAGAAAAAAAAAAAAAAAACTTGATTCAAGATTAGAGTCATGCAAATCTGACTATGCAACTATTACGATGGCTTGATTCTGAAATGCTGAATTACTAAATCACTTTCAAAGGAAAGAAAAGCACACCATGTACTTCTGATGTAGATGTCATATTTAATTTTTTTTTGCCATACACGAAAACTGAGGGAGGCAATTACAGTCTATTCAGAAAGTACATTAGTGCACTTGGGACTCGATCATTCAAGAATCTTTTTTTTTTAGTGGACTAAAAAAAATTAAAAACAGGTTGAAAATTAACAGCATGACATCCCACTTTGTTTTCATTTATGTCAAATTAAATATGGCAGCTACCCAAATTATTAAAGGCAATTTCATCCTACAATGTCCTGAGACCTTGAGTTAGGACTTCTGATCAAACTAGAAAGTCCATAAAAGCAGCACACTAAGCTCAAAGCCTAATGGCGCTTTTCCACTGCATGGTACGATACGGCTCACTTCTGCCATTTTTCCACTGCATGGTATGGTACAGTACGGTACAGGCTCGCTTTAAATGGTACCACAAAGTGCAGACGTTCCTTTCGTTGGGTCGAGCTGTGCTGAGCCTAGTCATACCACGCAGTGGAAAAGCGCCATAAAAATCAACAGAAAAACCAACTCAGGACTTTATGATTGAAACAGGCCCGAATTGTCTTCAATATTTCTATAATCCAGAAGATTGGTGGAGTTCATCAGTCTAATTATATGAAGATGTGGGGTACTGAGGGTGCCACCAGTCTAGGAGACGTACACTGTGGACAGGGTCCAGCACTACCTGCACCCCCTGTTCACCCCTAAGTTTCCTTCCCCGAATGACTGGTGAATCCTGGAACTCCAAGCGCACTCGGTGGTGCCTCATGTCTGTGCTCACATTAATGTTGAACTGAAAGACAGGGAGAGAAAGATTCATTGTCATTTGTGACATCAGCATGACGACTTGTGAAAATGCAAGTAAAAACTTCAGCAAAAATTATCAGTCATTCCAAACAGAAATGGTGTTCTCAGAAAGCACAACAAGTAAAAATGACTACTGCCCTACTATTAAGTGTGTGAGAAGAATTGTATGCCTAAATTCACAGTACTCATAAACAGTAGGTCCAAATAACCCAGATGATATAGTACTTCCGGCAATATTCTGAAGTAGAGCTGGACGATTAATTGCAATTAACTGAAATCGCGCTTAAGCCGATTTGACTTATTGCAATTATGAAATCGCAAAGGTTGTGATTATTTGTAATGTGCAGCTTGTCGGTGACGTACAGCTCTGTGATCAGTAATAAATTCTGCTCCATGTGAAAGCACTGGGAGTTTGAGTCACTTACAATGTGAATTTGAAACAGCAATACACGCCAAACATCTTTACAAACAGGAGAAGCATTTATGAACCTCTTGTCCAACAAAAGACAACAATTTAAAAAAAACCCAAAGTGTTTCAATCTTCTGTTTATTCAGCTGCAGCCCTATTGTGAAGTGTGAATTTGAATTTGATGGACACTTTACTATGGGAGAGGAGTTGTGAATGGCTTTAAAGTGACAACTGATGCTGGAAGATGCCGAATGTTGTATGGGCAAATTTTACCCTCTACACACATTCAAGATATATAGAACATTAAAGGGATAGGTCACAGTTAATTGGCCTCAATAACTTCCATGGTATTTTTTTGCAATACTACAGAAGTAAATGGGGCCCATAAACTGTTTTGGTTACACATTCTTCCAAATTTCTTCTTGCTTGCAATTTAGCAGAAGAAAGAAAATTTATACATGTTTGGAACAACTTGAGGGTGAGTAAATGACAATTTTAATTTTTGGGTAAACTGACACCTTAATTATATAATGATTAGATTAAGCAAACGGATTACAGATATATAGTATTGCCTACTCCTGTAATTAAACAACGTTATATATACATAATCATAACATGTTAAATAGATTATCTCATAACTCACCAAAGTTAATGTCATGCCCATCACAACAGAAGTAAAAATGAAATTGAGGGTAGTGACCCGCAGTAGGTAACAGTCTGAGTCTGGATTAATGTGAACATCTTTATACTGCTTGGGCAGCTGAAGACCCATCCTACATCCATTTTTGCCTTTGGTTGGCTGAAAGTTCAAATACAATGAAATTGAATTAAAACAACACAATCATCTCTGTAAATCAATATTCTGCTGTTACAATAATGTTGTTGTGGGCATACCAGTTTCACAAACTTGAAGTTGAATTCCCACATCGGCTCTGACCTACTTCCAGAAACTTTGTGGATCCAAAACAATAAACACTATAGGAACAAGAAAGGCATCAACAGAAAAATCTCACATTAACTGGGTAAATTAAATTAAAATGAAGCATTTTAAAGGGTAACTAAACACCAAAACAACTTTTTTTAGTTAATGATCTGTAAGAATGGAGCTTCATAAATGCTGTTCATTGATTCGAGTACATTTTTTGACAATTGAGTATAAAGTGTTTTGATTTTCAAATATATGGTGTAAAAACGTCTGAGTGCTGCCCTCTTCAGGTTAAACGGAAAGCTCCTGCAGTAGGGGTACTTGCTGACGTAGCGAACTCTCAGACGCACTCTGTCACACCCTTGGTGCGAGCTCACCACGCCCTTGGCAGCCCCTGGTATAAAAGCATCTGGTTCCGTCAAAACTACTGTAGGAGTCAGGAGTTGGATTTATGAATATTGAAAACGATCAGGATACTATAGCATATAATAGCATCTAGTTAGCATAGCATTTATATAGTTATTTAGATTATTTTTGAAAACGACCAGGATAGAGTATTGTTGCATCTATTTAGCATAGCATTATATAGATAATTTAGATTATTTTGTGTAGCTAGTAGCATAGTACAGTTAGGATAGCTTCAAGTTAGCATAGATTTATCAGTGTTTAGTACAGTGATCAGGATAGTAACGGAATAGAGGTGGACATGGGCTTCTCCACACGCAGTGCCAAACACTGCTCGTCCTGCATGGACTCCTCCACCGCAGCGGCGTCTTGATGTGAGTGATCATGGATATTTTAATCACAATTTATGGTTAGGATAAAGTTAATCCTCTAGGGTCGACAAACGAGCCGGTGCATTTTGCTGGATTTTTTCATATAGCGGCATAATATCAATAGCGTGCGCTATTGAGATCAACTCGACGACATAAGTCATCAGATGCCGGTCGCGATGCGGGAGTTAAGACCGCAGTTTGAGCCAGCAGCTCGAATGGATTTGGCCCTGTGTATACATACAATTCACCCTCATCCACTTCAGGTGAAGGTGAAGGTGAGGGAGAAAAGTCCTCGACTTCAAATGGCCGCTCTGTTGCAAAGGCAGCTATTGAGTCACTCCAGACTAGTCTCGCTCTATTTTAGAGTCTGACAGCAGCTGTCACTCACGGCGGGTCTCAGGTGCACGCCCCCTAGCCCCGCTGGGGTCTGCCCATTTTTTCAGCATTTTTCAAATATTGCTAGTGGGTGGAGTCAGGCTCTGACCAGGGGTTTAGTTACCCTTTAAAGAGAAAGTACATTTACACACCTTGGAATTGAGGAGTGTAGTAGGTGTAGATTCAGGAAGAGGAGGGCTTTTGGACACACGCAAGCTAAAGGGCTCATATAAGTGAAAAAGCGAGCGAATCACACGGGCACGAAGACAATGCATCCTTGCGATAAAATCAGGCTGAAGGCGATCAGGGAGGTCTGCATCAAGATTATAGTGCCTGGGGAAAGGTAAAAAGAAACATCAAGAGGGAATTTAGTCGTGCATAAATGCCCTGGAAGGGGAAAACAAAAATGTCTAATATTGCACAACAGTGCCTGTATGAATTTTCACCAAGCTGGTTCCAAAAGTATCTTACCCATTACTTTTTCTCATAGGGATTATAAAAAAAAGTCTTTGTTAATGAGTTATGACCAGTGGTGGAAAGAGTACTGACAAATTGTACTTAAGTAAAAGTATTGCTACTTAAGTAAAAATGTACTTGGAGTACAAGTAGAAGTACTGAAATATAATATGACTCAAGTAAGAGTAAATAAGTAGTTTGCTTAAAAACTACTCAAGTAACTGCGTTACAAAGTACTTTAGTATTTTCTATTTTTTACCCAAAATAGGGAGATGATAGCGAAATGGAGCGCTAAACACTCTCATGTCATCTGTTTCATTCATACTGAAGGCCCAGTACTGATGCATAGAAGTATTAAACTTACACATTTCAGGAAATGCCTTATATGGATATAATAACTTGCAAATAGTGATGTTTTGACTGATGAAACATGAAGACAAACATATAATAGCTATAATATATCTGAGTTTATCAAACTGTCAGGTATTTTCAAAAGAATGATGTATGACTTTAAAGGGATAGTTCACCCAAAAATTTAAATTAGCCCACGATTTACTCTCCCTCAAGTCATCTTAGAAGATATGACTTTCTGCTTTCAGTCGAATACAATCATTGTTATATTAAAAAATGGCCTGGCTCTTCCAAACTTTATAATGGCAGTGAATGACTGGAGAAAATTTGAAGCCCCAAAAAGTGCATCCATCAATGATAAAAGTGCTCCACATATAGACTACTAGCTTCCTCTGTTGTCAAGAGCAATTTTTGTATTACTAAATTTGAAAAGGAAGTGTAGGTAAGGTAATTTGAATGTTTTGATTTGAATCATTCATAATTGAAAGCAAAAGAAGGTTAATTGAGAGGTCCGATTAAAAAGGTATGAAAAACAATAAAACAGTATGAATAAAAAAAGTAAAAAAAACTAATTAATGGGGTATGATTAACATGTTAAATTAAATGATGTTTTTTTTTCATCGTAGCCAACCGAAAATGTGCTGTGAGCCCACTGTTGCTATAGGAACGAACTACACTTTTACATGCATCTGATAGACAGATCAATCATGCGATCATATTTCACTGTTTTTTCAGCTTTGTAAAACGTTTTCTTCGTATATTTAGTTTAAATGTATTGTTAAACAGGGAAAGCTTTACCATTAATTGAACTGTGTGCATGTATTTTAGACACTTACATTCTTGCTCTGTCCATTGCAAACCGCGTCCATGCATGTTTGAGGCAAGCTTTTTTATTTACTTCAACTGCTCAGTGCTCTGGTATTATCAATGGTGTGACCCATTTCAGTAGTTGCCATAATTAAATATGAGCAGAATACTCACTTACAGTCACTGACATATTGAAATGTTAGCGCTACTGATTCAAACACGAGCGCCAGTGATTGAAATGTCAAAGCGCGGTTTGAACGCCCCGCCCCCAGCCAAACTGGAGGTTTTGATTGGTTTTGCACCCGAGTCAGACCTGTCTGTTATTGGCTGAAGTGCTTCAGATATGTCTGTTATTGGCTGAAGCGCAGGGCTCCACCACAGTTGTTTTGAAATGTGTCTGTCAAATCGCAACTTGCGCTGTTGCTCCGTCGGCACCATAGACTGTCAGTAAAAAATAGGTCGGCACCTTTGTCAAAGTACTTTGTACTTTTTATGAAATATAAATGTAGCGAAGTTGAATACTTTATTTTTATTTTACTCAAGTAAGAGTAAAAGTACCACAATTTAATTATACTCAAGAAAGTAGAAAAAATGAAAAAATCTACTCAAGTACTGTAACGAAAGTATTTGTAATTAGTTACTTTCCACCACTGGTTATGACATGAAGAAAAAAAAAAACAACCAGCTATGAGGTAAATCAACATTACAAACTTGAAAAATGGGACAAAAAGACAAAAGTACAAGACAGGTTTAAATAAGGGACAAAAGGACAATCCCATGAAGCATTGTGTGAATAACAATACAATTAAAAACTTAGGAGAAATATAAAATTATTAATTTAAAGATTAACCCGACTGTTGCAATCTTAATAATACGTTAAATACATTTTTTTCGGCAGCCCACCTTTTGTAGAGTCGTTTCCAAAATGCAGCAGTGCATGTGGCAGTCCACGCATTCTTGCAGATCAAAGAGAATCTGCAGACATCTTCTGGACGAATGTATGCAGCAAGCACAAGCCAAATATCAATGGGATACTCCTCTCCATCTATGTTTTCACTGTGTTCTGACATTCATAATAACAGGGGTTAATTAATGTCAACAAACAAGAAAATTAATAATATCAGAATACATTAGAACAGGGATTCCCAAACTTTTTTTGGTCAGCCATACTTTTACCTAAATAACAGATTAAAGAAGTACCCCCCAACTTAATATTTAAACTTTAAATTTAATATTTTAAAATTAAAGGATAAGTTCACCCATTTTTTTTTTATTCTGTCAATTACTCATCCTTGTGTTGTTCCAAACCCATTAGACTTTCATTCATCTGCAGAACACAAATTAAGATATTTTTAATAATTATAACTTACAACATTTATATAACGATTTTCTTGTGTGTTGCGGAGTCTGGAACATGAATGAGTAATTAATGAAAGAATTTAAATGTTTCGGTGAACTAACCACAAAAATAACAACATGACATTCAGGTTAAGAAATCAAATATTTACTCTACTAATTTTTTTGTTTTAGTAAGTTTCTTTTCATTAACTCACAAACTTCCCACATAAAAACCCCAATTTGGGAAACTCTGTATTAGAAAACTCACTAGTGGTAGTGGTTACCTTTGCATCTTTTGTTTTTCTTTTTGCTGGACCCTCTGATTTCATCCCCTTCCTCTGAGTCCAGTTCGTCACTGCTCTCATGAACTGCGTTACTCACACCGACTGCAGATGAGAGGACCTCCTGCACAGGACCCTGTGATGCCTCGAGTCCACAGAGTAATTTCACTGAAAAAGAAGTGTTCTATTTCATCAGAAACGATCTTAAAACAGGGCTTTAAGTCTAAAATACCGAACTAACCACATTGTACATCACAAAACTATTGAAGTCATGTTTTTTTTTTTTTCTAGTATAGTGTCACCAAGAGGTAAAATCCCACAATTTGTTTCATGGGTCCTCAGAATGAAATTATATGCATATTTTGCATTACATTGTTTCATATTTAATCAACATGTTTCAATAAGTAGTTTTTAAATCAATTATGCTTTTTGCAATGGTTCATGGGATTGTAGTTCTTTATCTCACTAAAGCCTAAATAAAATTGCAATGTTGTGATTCACCTCGTAGCTGTTTGGATGGTTTCATCCTTAAACAAAGACATTTTTTAAAGTCCTATGAGAAATGAATGGAAAAAATATATAACGTTACACTTCCGGAACCAACGCCACTGAAAATGTGGGTGGACACTAATGCACTCATTGATCGTCATAGGGTGCTTCTCATTTCTTATTTGTGCATCCTCGTTTCCTTTCCTTGCTTCCTTTCCTTGCGTCTCAGCTCCACCCCCTGTAGGACGCGAGGGAAGGAAGCGAGGAAAGGAAAGGAGGACAGAGGAATCGAATAAAAGCTTTTTTATATACATTGGAGTACTTGATCACTCGAGCGTCACTCCACAGTGTCATCAGCAGCGCTAAAAGGATCTGCCCTTATGATGTTGAAGTTTGGTTATTTAATAAATTCATAATAAATAATAATAAAGATAGGCTATACTGTTGAAATATTTGAGATTTGTGGTTTATATAAACTGCAAAGGTAAAGTATAAATTAAAATGATTGTGACCGATGTGAAGGGGAGAATTTTTGGAGAATTGACACGTGCGTCACGTTTAGTCAGTATAACAGTTCCGCGTAGGATCCACTTGTGTATCCTCGCTTATGACTCCTCAGGAAGCCTCCTCACTCCTCGATCCTCACGGTGCAATGGGCTCTATGCACGGCGGTATTTCCGGTGAAGCATTAGGGATGCTCGATAACTTCCGCCGATCGTAGAGTCCAATGCAATACAGAGAATTTATATTGAATTTTATACTCCATGGTTATACTAATGAAACGTTAGTCACAAAAACAGATAAAACAGATACCCCTCGTTGTGTTTATGCTTCTTTTTAAAATCATATTAAATAAACATAACTATATATAAAATTACATCTAAACGTATGTACGTTTCGTTTCAAAGACGGGAGGACAGTAAATATTGAAGACTCTGCCATAATCCCGTTTTCTCCGGTTTTCCTCCGCTTTAATCTACACAACCGGAAATGGACGAGCATCCTTGCGTCAAATGCGGAACTTATGCGTGCATATAGCCCATTAGAGAATTGAGATGTCCTTCAAGATGGCTGAGCTCGATCGGTTTCCGGGTCATAGGAGGGAGGACGGAGGAGCGAGGAGACGAGGAGGGATATTGAGAAGCACCCAGAGTCTATTGATATGATCTCAAGTGAGTGAGACAGGCTGTCCCGCCATGATTATAATGATTTTATGGTGACTTTAGTATTCCTGAATTAAGTTACCTTCTTTTTCAATTGCATTAACAACCGCCTTTTTAACTCTTCCTGACTTCACGATGGCTGGATCAGCGTTGGCATAGTCAGCCACAGTTACTGGGAGGAAAAGGGTGAAGGAATACAAAAAAATTAAGTTGACATTAAAGTGGACTTTGGCTATATTATACGCAAAACACATCATAACATCAGCTCGTCTCACTCTATTACCTGACTCCGAGCAAACATCCTCGGCTTTGAATTTCAGCCGTTTTCGGTTCCCTTTCTTGGGCATGACGAGAGCGAGGGTCTGTGGCCGTTTATCGAGGCTGTGTGCCCTGCCATCTTTCCAGCAGAGGTAAAGAAAACCCGATAAAAATGAGGGTGAAATTAAAGAAAGCTCCTCCAGGATCTTCAGCCATTATGGAACTGACACTCAAGGTCGCGTACATTCTCGCGAGATCTCAGAGGGCAAACGACTCCGAAGACTGGACGCTAATTGGACGCAGAAATCATGTGTGAGATGAATCGTCCAATCAGACGGGGTATATTCATAACTCTGCCCCAGGGTTTTTTTAAACAGGAAAACAATGACGTCATCTTCGCTGTTTTTTTCCTCGTTTGAAAGTTCTTGAAGTACTAATATGTATACAAATAAATATATTGGAGAGTCACTAAACATTAAAAACCACTAAACCTCGAGAAAAAGTTTAAACAGAATCCTGATAGATTCTGCATGTCAAGATTCATCAGATTCTACATCACACATGTAAACACATTTGATCGTGTTGATGAAAACTGTTTGACATAGAGCAACCAAACAAAAATATTTTCTTTTTAAACACATTTTCTCTTCTTTTATTTTTACTTTATTTAATCTAAACCATGTTTTAATGTTCTTTAAAAATGTTTTACTTTCAGTTAAACTTGATGCCAGTAATGTTAATTAAACAATGCACAAAGATAAAAACAAAATTGGGAAAAAAATACGGAATAACATTGAAGATAAATATTATAAATATGAGACTTGCTCCAAAAATCCTTTTTAATATATTTATCTTTATTTTATTTTTTTTAATTTTTTAAAACTTTATGATAGGTCCGTCATTTCTATACACCTGCCTGCCGCCAGAGGGCGCAGCGCGTGACAACATTTCTCACACTGGCGTCTCGTGCATGACAGTCATGTAGTCGCGTGGTGCTGATGTGAGGAACTCCGATTTTACGCTGTTTGCACGAGCTTTACAGAGCCACGCCGGGTGGATATGATCTTCGCCGACGACGTGGGAGACGTTTAACCTTTACATTCACCAAAGCGTCGGTGCATTCATATTTTAAAACATGCGCGAATGTTTGTGTAGATAGCGGAATAGCTGTGTTGCAAGCGGGAATGAGCTCGTAGAGGGAGGAGCGCTTCGCTCGGCTCGCCGTGAAGGGAGATGATGATGATGGTGGCAGATGGATCTGGAGGATGCGGCAGACGCGAATTTCAACGTTTTCTGAAAGGTTAATGGCAACTGGTGGATGTTAAAGCGAAGGGTGCCGAGGTTCAAGCAGCTGAAATCGGAATATGCATGTGGCGAGCGCTGTGATGAGCGTGCATCGAAATGCATTGAGTTCCAAGTCAAACTAGGTGGATAATGTTAGAGCGGAAAAGGCCGACAGTCATGGACCAGAGAGGTCAAGGTGTGTGAAGAATCCAGACAGGGATGCAATTAGTAAAATCAGAGGATGCATTTTAAAATACATGGATATCAGTATGCATTTAATTGGCACTAAAGATTAATAGTGCACCTCAATCCTGAATTAAAAATAAATAAATAAATCAAAGCAATTTCTAATTTGACAATATGATGTGCGAAGTGATGCCGACCATAAATGAAGGAGACTCTGTGAGTTCCCAGAGAGGCTCTCAGAACGGCACGGATGCCGAGGCTAATTTTGAACAGCTGATGGTGAATATGTTAGATGAGAGAGATAAGCTGCTGGAGTCTTTACGGGAGACACAGGAGACCCTCATCCAGTCGCAGACCAAACTCCAGGATGTTCTTCACGAGAGAGACGTGCTTCAGAGACAGCTCAACTCCGCCTTACCGCAGGTAAGTTTACGCTAAAATTTGTTTTTTACTTTGTTTTTCAACAAATTAAATGTGGGATCTTCGGACAGTGCAAGAAGCTAATTCGACCCTCTATATTTATGTTCCCAAATTGACAATAGCTGTAGCAGCTATTTTGAAAGAAACTCAGTGAGTTCAAAATAGTTTTTTTTTTTTTCAGCCCATTGATGTGTTTAAGGGACCCCATGATATTGCTATGTCCTGTGGAAACAGGAAAGTTGGGGCAGGACATGGCAAAGGGCTCGTCCCATTTTGTTTAGCCCGACGCCCCGACCCGCTACTTGTGGTCTTGGTTCTGGAAGTTTTTCCCTGAGGGATGTACTTGTTTAATATTATAAACCAACGAGGTGAATCACAACATTACAAAGTTTGATTTGAAGATTAATTGGCATAGTACTGAATGATTGTATATCACAGTGCTAAATGGGAGTGGATGGGCCTTAAAGAGTTCTTTTGGTGTGATTTGCTCATTTCTTTCTATAATCATGGGCAATATAGTTGAAATTTCCAGAAATTTGTGTGGTTGAGCATGATTAAAAGTTGAGATAATGCAGGATGATGGCTTCAACAAAAGCATGTACTATCGATATAAATATAACTTACAGTAGGCCTGTTTTTAGTTAATAGTGAGTAATCTGTTTTCCTAGAAGAGACTAAATATTTTAGTCTGGCGCAAAATGAACCTTTGGCCTAATAAGTTAACACATTGTTACCTAGTCGACCGTTCTCTGAGATTTGTTTTCATGATAATCGAATGTAAGTAATGTAAGTATCTCTAAATAATTATCTAATTATAACGCTAGTATATGGGGGCATATAATACGTAAAAAGAAAGAAATTGCTTGTTAATACCACTAACAAGGCTCAAAATAGCCCCACAGATAAGTGTACAGACCGTTTAATAAGAAGATATTTTATAAGGACAGTCCACTTCGTCCATCTTTGGAAAACAGTCTCGACAAGTCGAACCACAAACGCCGTTCATACAGTTCAGAAATTCGCTGAACTTCAAACAGTTCAGCTCACTTGGCACGTCGTTCGTGGTTCGCAGCAAACCATAATTATGAGATGGCAACCCAGTCTGGGATTTATGGGTTTCTATGTCAACACCTCCTGTTTTTCAGTTTTTCACCTACCTTTTAGGTGTACACTAGTAACTTCAAATCTAATATACAATGATGAAGATCTTTCAATGTAGTTAAATGGATATGGCAATGAGAACTGAAGCTTTAAAGGTTTCCTCATTGTTTATGACTTGAGTGACCATTAATATGGTATGGTGGAAATTTGAACCAATAATTGTCCTCAGAAGAAATGTACCCAGATGAATTGTTTTGACAAAATATCTAAAACTGATCTATTATTCAGTTTGTGTATATTGTGTTTAGTAGCTTCTCAGATCCACACAATTATTGGGGATGCATTGTGGAACTTCTTGTGGCAGGTAAACACTTGTTTTCACAAAGGTACATTATCTGTGTTCCAGAAATGTCAGTGGTTGTGACTGTGCATACATCCCAGTCAAATGGCAATACGGTTATAATTTAAAGACAAATACTATCTATGCATATCAAAAGCATTTACTTTTTTCCCTATTGAAGTGTATGAGGGTTGTGGTAGGTCAGGCTTCAGAAGAGCAGAGATGAAGAGGGCATCTTCTAGTGTATCTTCCTCTGTATCACATAGCTCTTTTTGGTCATTCGCCAAGGACACACGTGATATCGATTCATCTGAGTATCCGGTCCCCTTCCTTCCCCCGTCTCCCTCCCTCTAATTTTGTCTTTCACACAAGTGATGCAAAAGCAGCTTACTTCTCAGTTTACGTCACCCTGCTCATCCAGACTGCTAATTGGTGGATCAAGAAATCTCTTCCTATGGGAAGATTTTAAGACTTTTACTTGCAAATTAGTTTTAAAAGGAGGTGACTGAACCCTGGAAACAGAGACAGGACCAGCGGATGTAGCTGAGAGATGCATCACCATATCTGTCTCCAGAGGAAAATTGGACTTCCTGTCCAGCATGTCTAGGACTGTTCAAAGGAAAATGCCTCCTTTTATGTGATGCTCTTGGGTATGTGAGACTGTTGCTACAAGGCCAGTTAATCTATTTAACAGCCAACGTTTACATTTAAACCCTCTGATTTAACTCATTGGCTGTATACTGTACTATTATCCTCAAAATGGCATGTTACCTCAGACTGTTAGCACTTTCTTGACCTGGCAAGCTCCAATTTTATTGGCTTATTTATAAGGTGAGATGAAGCATCCAATGAATGCTTTTGTGGATGAAAAAGGGTGAGAGGTTAGTAGCATTATTGAGGCACTAGTGGCAAAAGTGACAGTAAAGCCATTTATAATGTTACAATGTTCTTTAAATAAAAAGTATCATGGTTTCCACAAAAAAATATTGAGCAGTACAACTGTTTAGTATCAAATCAGCATATTAGAATGAATGATCATGTGACACTTAAAGGGATACTCCACTTTTTTTGGAAATAGGCTCATTTTACCACTCCCCCAGAGTTAAACAGTTGGGTTTTACAGTTTTCAAATCCATAGTAGGAAAAAAATATACTATGGAAGTCAATGAGACCAGAAACTGTCTGGTTACTGATATTCTTCTAAATATTAAAAAATCTGATCAATACATTCGACAACAGTAAAACTCAACTGTTTAACTCTGGGGGAGTGGTAAAATGAGCCTATTTCCAAAAAAAGTGGAGTATCCCTTTAAGACAGTAACGACTGCTGTCAGTAAAATTCAGCTTTGACTTCACAGAAATAAATGACATTTTAAGAGATCTTACTGTAAACATAGTGTAAAATAATTGCTCTGGTTTCATTTTTAATAATAATGATAACATATCAGTTTTGTCATTTTAATTTCTTTATGATTCAGTCATTAACTCCCATTTGCATTGTATTGTAATTTCATAGGCCACTGTGTGTGCAGTAAACGGTTTCATTGATAGTCGTTTAGTGCACACCACCTTTCTTTCTGTCCATATTGTATAAAGTTAATTATACCTTGCCATGGTTGATCACTTCTGTTTTGGTTGGTGGTCTGTAATTGCTGTTGAGCAGCTAGTACGAGTAAGTTTTCAAACAGAAAGATGTGCTTTACATCCTTTAGTTAGGTCCTGGAAATTAATTGGCACTGTGTTATTGATTATAAGTGTATTGTTAATGCAGAGCATAAAGACGGTATTGAGGATGGTGATGATACATGAACAGTATACAGACTTGATTCTGCAGAGTCATCTTTAAGACAACTGGCAAAGACAGCTGACAGATATATGTGTCCTGCACTCACAGGGTTTACCTCAGTGCA